GGGGCCTGCGGCGCGCGGGCGGGGTCGGGGCTGCTCCGGGCGGCTCGGGTTTCGCGTCCTCTTAGCGCAGGACCCGCCGGCCGAGCGGAGGGGAGCCCAGCTCTGCCCGCGGTTTGCGGGTCCCGCCGCAGCCGTTCTCAGGCACCTGTTCTCCTCTCCCGTCCCGGAATGGAGCCAACACAAGGGAATAAAGGAAATTAAATAGTATACGGAGATCGGGTGTCTGGGCAGCGTCTTGGATAAAACTCATCCATTACAGGTAAGAGCAAAACTTTTGTGCAGACCTCTGAAAGGAACGCACACAACAGAGCTCCAGAAGGCGTCTGTAGGGAGTGTTGTGGTGAGGCGCAGTTTATCTCACGGGGAGAGCATGTCGTATCAAATTCTACAAGACTGCACCAGCTCTCTGTGAAATGATACGGGATAACAGGTTCAGCGCGCTTTAAAGGGAAGAAATATACGCAAAGTGGTTAAAGGCAGAGTTAAAACAAGACCCTCCCAATTAAAAAAAAAATTTTTTTTTTTTGGTTTAGTTTCCAGCTAGCAAATGTTTGCAATGGTTTTATTTAACCAAATTTTAGAGTTTAAAACTCTGTATTCTTTGCAATTTGTTTTGGACACTGCTGCATGAAAAACTTGAACTTTTAGAATACTTGCTTCCTCAAAGTCAGTAACTACCTTTCAAACCTCTTTAGAGGTCTGTAGGAGGAAATCAAGTTTTGAAAAGGTGATTGTGCAGTTATACAAACTTAACCGTTTACTATGCCGTTAAAGTCTAGTAGCTCAGAGACCCATAGGTACATTCAGAGCCTTTTATAGTGCGGGTCCCTGGCATACACTACCACCCTTACCTGGCAGTTAATGTCTCCGTAGTTGGCGGTCTGAGTCCCTATTTCAAACTGAAAACCCACCGACCAGCTCTTCAAAAACCTTCATTCCTTGTCGTTTATGTCCTTGCCTTAGGATATCCCCTCAATGTCCTGGGTAGTCTCACTACTTTCAAGTGACACCCATCCTGTTTTGTCACCTCCATTGCTTTCACTTGCTGAACAGGTAACATCAGGGAAACGAGGTTTTACTAAGCAGCTAGTGCTGCACTGTGGGACTTTGGACTCACTGATGGCCAGCTCAAAAGCTCTGAACCTTAGGCAACTCTCCAAGACTTTCAAGCGTACAAAATGAAATACAAAGCCAGTTCACGGGGAAAGGGTGTTGACACTGAGATAATAGGCCAGCTTCTCAGCACAAAGTCTAGTATGTACTACTGAACAGATGTCAGGCTTTTTTAACGTTTAATCTGTGAACACTGAATCTCGCAGTGGTAGTCTCGCTGTTTTCAGTTCTAAGCTTAACAGTTGCTTTGAACAAATGAACAAAATATGCTAAGCATCTCTGCTATACATTCTGTAGGGTGAAAGTAATACTAGCCATTCATTCATTGCAGCACCAGTGAAGAGGGAAGTTAAGCACACACTGGGAAGAGGAATACAGACCACCACAGCCATTACAGAATTACAGGGCAGCGTTACACTCCTTGGCTAAAGGCATAGATTTGTGGTGGTGCCCTTTACTGGGAAGTCTGGAATGGCTTTAAAGCAAGTCTGGACTTGTTTTCTGAGGGATAGAGCAGTTGGTACTTGTTTTTTTTCCCCTGATGTTCTGTCCTGCAATATGGGTTTCCCTTCTAAGTCACTGCTCTCTTAAGTCATTTCCCAGTCTCCTGGCCATTACATAATCTGGTCATTCACTCATATTTGAAAACTATACACAAATAATCTGGTCATTCACTAATATTTGAAAACTATACACAAACTTTGTTTTCATCCGAAGCTAACTGGCTAATAAGCATGATTTTTATTTTGTAACCCAGTACTAGTAAGCAACTACTTTATTCTGTAGATGTCACCTCTAGAAGTATCTGTTACTAAATGTGGAAGTACTTTGATATTATGCCCCCAAAGTTTTAGATTGAAAATTTAGTATTGTTTTGTTCCAAAATTTTCAGGTGATCATGTTCATCCTAGGATATCCATCCTATGAGATCTGCAGCTTAGTTTGTATTGTTCAGTGTATATACCTCAATATAACCTAAGGCTGTGGTACTACCTGTGTAATTTATCCCTAAAATTTGTCTGGGGCCAGGGATGTGGCTCAGTGGTAGAGTGCTTGCTCATACATACAAGGCCCTGGGTTTGATTCCTAGCCATCACCACCACCACAAAAAAAAAAAAAAGTTTTTGCTACCTCTAAGGGCAAAGATTCACTGTAGTTTTTCCATTTTTAATTTCTGTATCTTCATTATATAGTGTGTGGTGTTTTTTTTAAAGTATGTGTGCTGCCAAAGCAAGCAATGATTTTTTAAAAAATGAGAATGGAAAAGAAATACAGCTGTCTTTAAAAAAACAGGAGAAATACAATAAAGCTCTTTCAATTTCTTTTAAAAAATATACTATCAAAACAAAACAAAAAAGGCTTTTGCTAAGTTTAATGTTGCCAGAAGACCTAAGTTAAATCTTTTGTTTGCCACTTACTACCTTCAGGGATTGGGCAAAATCATTTCAAGCCTAAATTGTTTCATCTGTTAATGCGAATAGATTAAAATCTTAAGAGGTACTTCTTCCCTTAGGATATTATGTGATTATATTGTTCATGATCTACTTCACTCATCCCATTCACACTAAAAATAATCAATTCTTGTTTTATGCTTTAATAGGCTCATAAATTTATAAATGACAAGTATCTTTTCTAAAAACATACTCTTTACAATGTGTATCATGTTTTTATCATTTAACATGACATTTAGGAACAGCATACATTAAGGTGATGCCAATAAGAGAAACGTAGAAATGTACAACGTGATTTTCATAAAGTACTTAAATTGTTGGGAAACAACTTTTATGAGGTGATATTTAAACTATAAAAGCTGATCAAAGGGGGCCTGGTCCACAGAAGATGTTTATTTGATGTAACAAAACAATACAGTTAGTGTTAGACCCAACCACAAAGAGCAAAGGAATGAAAAATTTGTACAATGTACACAGAAAAAACAAGATGTTTACTATAACAACTATATACTCCTAAAATAATGCTTCTAAAATTACTCAATTATTGAAATCTATAGGAAAAAAGGATGTTAATAGCGACAAAGTGCATAAAACCAAACATTGTATTTTGAGCAAATTAACATACTAGGCGATTTTACTAACAATGCATGATTTTTTGTTTACAGTCTGCTCAAAATATCTTTATACCAACAGGGTGGGCAGAACATTGAGGTTTAATATCAAGTACACAATATTAGCATAAACTTTCACAACTACATAGAGTATTGTTTTCTTTTTGAGCTGGCAAAGTAACTACAGAAACATCAGATGATTTCTCTGAATTGAGAATTTTATCCAAATAAATGCCATTTACCTTCCAGATATATGCATATCTTTCTACATCCTGTAAATGGCTTTCCCATTTAAATAAACCATACAGCATTTAAGAATCATTATTATAAGATTAACAATGTCATGTTCTAGGTTTAACAATTTCATAGGCCAAAAAAAATTTCCTCTTAAAAACTAGTTTTATAAATGCAGAATATATTGCATGAGTAACTGCTGGTACGTATTTTTTAAGAAAATATATTGTGCAATTGTGGCTACCATATACTGCTGGCAAAGCATTATTGTTTATGTAAAATGTGAAAAAAATGAGTAAAAATTTTTTCAACTGCCTATGATCATGATGAAAGGTTACTGCCTTCTTAAAAAATTATATTGGCTTCTTATTAAAAATAATTCAATAAGGGACAGATTCCCTAGCCAAAAATAAATAAATAAAAAGGTGCATTTTTAAATGCCACTACTGCAATACAATGGTTTAAACACCGAAGAACTGTGAAAATGTGCTGTGATCTCGCATTAAAGAACATATTAAAAAAGAGCATTAATGTAAATTAAGTAGAAAGGGGGTCAAAACTGAACTATCCGCGTCGGTGCAGTGTTGTAGCCAGGCTTCTAAAATTAGGTATAGAAAATATAAATAGACTGCTTTAAGTAATGAGCCACCAGTGTCCAAAGGGGAGGAAAAACAAAAACCCAAACAAATAAAAGGAATGAGATTATGAGAATGCTCAGTTAACTTGATCCAAAGCTCTGAGTAATTCTTCACCCTGCAGTAGGTTTCTGCTGCCTTGTATAGGAGCATTAACTTCACAATCGTAACTGGTCAGCTGTGGTAATCCACTTTCGTCCATTGATTGCCCCAACAGTCTACAGGCTAAATCTGAAAAACAAAGAGACACGTAAGTATTCATCAAATTTACTAAACACCCACTCTCTGCTCGGTATTGGGGAAAATAAAGTGAACTTTACAGAGTGTTTTTAGAATGTGGGGCAGAAACCAGACAGCTATGTCAACAGTAGGTACAATCAAGTGTTACTGATGCTGTCAGAAATGTTTACAGGAGACAATGAAGGCACAAAGTCATAAATTAACTTTAAATAAAGTTTCAACTTTTATCAATATTGACAGCACATAGATATAGATATAAGAGAATTACTAAAAATCAAAGTCCTATCTTGACATATCAATTTCTGTATTATGGCCAGTAGATAAATGCTTCTTTTCTTTTTCACCTTGCTAAGAACCAAAAATCACTCTCACTTGGGGTAAAGCTCTTACCCAAAGGATGTATCACATTATAACTGTCCTTGTGATGTTCAAAGGAGAGAAAGAATAAACTAACCAGAGGGTATTAAAATAATTGTCTTTTGCTCCATTCCACTCTGTTCACTGGATTTGCATCCTTTTACACGTTTCCAAGAAAGTGATGTAGTAGCTGCACGGTCATCTGGTTGCTGAAATAATGTCCCCTAGAAAGAGTAAAGTTATTTCAAGTTTACTACGCTAAATTTTTTAATTAAAAACTTTGCAATCAGTATAAGTTTAAAAGCCATACTGCCCTAAATTATTATTATTTTTTGAGATAGGGTCTTGTTATGCAGCTCAGGCTGGTCTTGAACTCCCTATGTGGTGCACTCTTCCTCAGCCTCCCAAGTGCTGAGATTACAGACATGTGCCACCATGCCCAACTCCTAAATTTTTAATTCTTTCTCTTGCCATCCACTATTGCTACAAATACTTTGCAGTTATTTGCATCTGAAAATATCAGTGTGGATTACAGCAGCACTGACATAGCCTAAGAGTGGTTCTGTTAAAATAAGGAAAAAATAACATAAAGGGAAAACAATGAGACTAGTAGTGATTCTGAGAGTGGTGCAACAGATCTTCACTTTTCCTTCAAAATATATATACACTGTTCGGAATTTTTACACCAAGAATCTATCCATTACATGTATGTTTAAGAAATAGTGTATACAAAGTGAAAAAGTCTAATGTATAACTGATGAAAATATAACTTCTGTATTTCAAGAAGTAAGAAATTACCTATACATAACTTGGAAATAGCACATTACCGTAGAAAAGTAACAATCTCAAACTTACAATTCCTACTGCTTGAAAAAGCGAACCATCATGTTCTATTTTTCTCTTTCTCTGAGCATTCTGCAAAGCTTGTATCTTTGGATTTAGTTCTTCCTCAGGAATGGTATTTCTAGAAAAGAAAAAAAATTCTAGATTAAAATATGGTTAATTATAGTTTTAAAATATAACCAATGACCTCTCTTAAACAAACTGTGTAATGCTTTAGTTTCCAACATTCAGGAATGTAGCATTAAATATACAAAAGAACTCTCCTGACTGCTAATTTATCACTTTTTTTTTGGTACTGGGAATCGAACCCAGGACCGTGAGGTTGCCAGACAGCCACTCATGCCACTGAGCTACATCCCTGGGCCTAATTTATCACTTTTAAGCAAAAGCTTTTTTAAAAATTTCTTTTAGTGCTTGGGATCAAACCTAAGACCTCTGGTATTCTGGCCAAATGTGTGACCTCTGAACTACATCCCTCGTCCCAAAGTTCAGTTTTTTTAAAGAGAAAATTTTCTCACCGTGCATATCCCTATTTTATAAAACAGAACCAAATGGAACTAAACTGACATTACTGAAGGTCAAAAAGAATTTATCAGCTACAATACAGTGATATTCTTGGGACTGCAGAAATACACAGTTTCACATTTGTATGCTGCTCTCAGTTTACAAAAGATTTTACGTCTATTAGTCCATTTTAACACCACCCCAGTTCCCTGAGATAGGTATGTCACACCCATTTTATAATCGAGGAACCTAAGGCCTGCCACCTAACTTGCTCAAACATTCCCGTACCCGTCATCTTCTCACCATGCTAACTTTGCCCTTAATATTAATCTCTATCAAAGCTCAGCTCTCTGTATTTAAATTAATATTAAAAAGTGAAGAACTGGGATAAATGGTCAAAGTACATCAATTTTGTTATCTATTCTGGCTTTTCAGGAACCCCTTATGTCATAATGATCCCTTGCTCTATTTCAGATAGTTGAGAATACCAAGTAAGTGATATATTACTCTAACGCCTCCCCTATTATGTATTTTTGTTTTGTTTTAAAAAATTTTTCTGAAATCTTAGTCTATAGGCAGGTAGGTTTTTGATTTATTTATTTATTTTTGGTGCTACCTGGGATTAAATCTGGATCTTGTACATGCTACATAAGTGCTATACTACTAGGACAGGTACCCAGCCAAGGTTTCTAAATTCTTATATATTATCTTTATGAGCTATAACTCAGTCTGTCATGTTAATATTATCTTACTAGTGGTACTTTTAGTGGTTTATTTTTAATCCTTGACCTAAAGCTGGAAGTCTTTTGGTTTAATATAGCACTTTGATTTTGCAAATAATTACTTAGAAAGGCATGGGGGGATCCTCTGCATATTTTTAAAGTTCTCTCAAAAGTGTCTAGTATATGCTTTATTGAAATTAATATTACAAAACTGCTAAAAAGTGACCTGATATTAGACACTGGTTTTGACAAGTAAAATCCAACAACAGTTGTTCAGTAAACTGAATTATCTCATCCTTTGCAGCTAATAGTAAACTGTAGATTACAGGTCAGTCACAAGCATTTACTGAACAAGTACTTCACATCAGGTATTGAGCTAAATATTATTATCACTACAGTGGTCAAGTCCATTGCTGTAGTGGAGCCCAGGGTCTAAAGTCAGCCAATGATAATAGTAATGTGTAAAGCCCCAAGATTTATTTCCTAGGGCAAGAAAAAGGCAGGCCTTTCCCAGCACCTAGGTCAAGGCACTGGTGCAGGTCAGCGGAAGACAACCATGCGCTCTAGTTTTGGCAGTGTTTCTCTCCTATGCTGTTGATAGCTGGCTCAGTCTAGGCACTGTACAGAAGGACTCATTTCTGTCATAACTCTAAAACCTCTCAGCCTCAAATTTAAAATGCCAAATCCCATTACATATTATATATGGAAACTGTAACTTAAAAATTGGGTCATGCCCAAAGATTTAGTCAAAAATTACTTCATGCCATAAAAGCAATGTCCTAAGTTTTGCTACAATTCTTGGTATAGGCCTAGGAAAGCCCAGCTAACCTACAATGCAACTAATGTTGTACAAATATGTAATGAAAAATTGTAAAAGCAACTTTAAAAGCAATAAGTATACACAACAAAATTTAAAAGAAGGCTTGTAAATATCCATATTCAATACTGAGGATTTAAAACTCATTGGGCTCATTTTAGAAAGAACCCTTAAGTTGGAAGGCTTTTTTACAGGTAAGCTCAAGAAGAGCTCCCAGAGATGGGAGCATCTGTAAGAGTACTGAGAACAACTAGTCTCGCAGTGTACCTGGGCCAGTTATTAAATATTCACAGAACTTACAGGCTGGATTTTACTCTTAAAGGTGTTAGAAGACTCTTACATTCTTTCTATGTTGAGATAGGTGATATGAGTATTTTAAAGAAAATCAATATACAGGTAGTTTAGTATAATTTTTGAATGCTTCTTTTGAATTCAGATTTGGGATATTAATTTCATGTTCCTTAATGCTTTAGCATATAAGCAGAAAGACTGCTATGTGTTTAGAAATCGTATAACATCATACTTGCTAAAACAGAAGAAAAGAACTATAATGTTATGTATAAATACCTTTGACTCAAACTAACAGGAACCACATTAGGACTTCTTGGATGAGATTTTTCTGTCTGTTCTATGACTCCTTTCCCTGCTCTGTTTGGTGAGGCTGTCCGACTTTGAGTACTGCTGTATGGTGGTGATGTGGTGGCATGAGTAGTTTCTTTAGGTAGGTGGGTAGGAGGTGGAGATACAATTAGTATTTGAATGTCTTCCATACTGTCTTTTGCCACTGTTTTTAATTCCTCAGTGGTGGGCGTGGTAGTGTTGGCAGTGGGGGTGGTAATGGCAGGTTCTTGCATTTGAGTCTGCTGGAATACTGTAGTTGTGCTCACACTTTGGGGACTTGCAGAACTGCTTTCTAACGGTGACAGCTGATCAAAAGAGCGTAACTGGAAATCATCATCCATCGGGATGTAGGGTGCCAACATCTCCAAGTCTAAGTCATTGTCCTGTAAGACAACAAATATGTGAATTTTTACAAAAATGGCCACATCTTGTTAAAGAAAAACAAATGAAACCCAGTCACTTCACACTAAACATTAATAAAATTTAATACAAAATAAACTATCATATACCTGAGTTGAAAATGGATTTTTTGCTTCCGTATCTTCAGCAAAAAGTTTCTCTACCAATTCCAACTTGAATACATTAACCATATCACTATCCACATCAAAACAATATTCACTGGGACTGTTAGGCTGTAAAAGGAATTAAATGTGTTTACTTTTCCCTGAAGAAAGCTCTAATCCACGTGTTATTTTAGTTACTGAAATTTTCAAACCAGATGTCATAAAACATACCAACATGTCTCATTTACTAAATTTTGCCAAAATAATACATAAAATTGTATTTTTTGGGGGGGGGGCAGTGTGGTCTCACTATGTGGTTAGTCCAGGCTGGATTTGAACTTAGAGTGTTCCTCCTGTTTCATCCTCCCAAGGGCTGGGATTATAGGCATGAACCACCATGACCAGCAAAGAATTTTTTTTTTAATTTTTAAAAAATTTTTTCTGTGAGTCTTTTTTGTCCTGTATTTTTAATGTTGTTGTATGCAGGGTTTTTTGTTGTTTTTTTTTGTGTGTGTATGGTGCTGGGGATTGAACCCAGGGCCTTGTGGTATGCAAGGCAAGAGCTCTACCACTGAGCCACATCCCCAACCCCGGTCAACAATTTGTATTTCTGAGCTTAGACTGGTAACTAATTTTACCAATATGCATACTTTTCACTGTATATAATGTAACACCACTTATGAAGTTAAGATTAAAAGACATTTACCTGCTTATTAAGGATAGAATTTATGTAATAATTCAAGTCCCAAGTCCAGTAATGGAATCTAATTTGGCTAATTAACTAGATGATATATTCACTGGAATCTACCCTTGTATGGTGAAGGAATACTTATTGTGATCTACCTAAATATCTCACAGCTACTCTAAGGGATGAGAACAGAGACTTCAGTTCTTTCACCTGTATATACTCTGGTGACTATACTAATATTTTAGGAGTTCTGGCCAAGAATTACAAACAAAAAACTATAGCTATGTATTTTAAGTGGAAAATTTTATTTCCCTCAAACTAATATTTTTTTGTTAGATTTAGTTTTGTTAAAAGACAAAGGGAAACATTTTTGTGCTAGGCAAACTAAGTAAAGGATATATTTTCCAGAAAGTTGTTATCAAATATCCTCTCAGCTTGCCAGTTTAAACGAATAAATATATGTAAGATTATTTACCACTCATCAAGACTTACTTGTGTGCTGTTTTAAGTTATACTGTTCAACCCAAGTTACCCTGCTCTGGAGCAATTTTAGTGGTAGAAAGCTCTGAAGTTAAGTCTTCTAGATTGAGAAATACAGCCATACGTGCTGCCACTAGTGCTGGACCAGTTTTGTTTTGTTTTTTTTTGGTTTTTTGAGACAAAGGTCTCACTATGTATCCCACGCTGGCCTCAAACTCATGATCCTCCTGCCTCAGTCTCTCAAATTTGGGTTACAAGCATGCACCAAGATAGACATCAAGAGAGATCTAGAATTTTCAAAGTAACTATTCTGTGTAATACTGGTATTTTCATGTTACACTTACCCAGTATCTCAACAGAGATGAAGCTGGACTAAACTGAGTAAAGAATTTACAAGGTACTTTCCCATTTCAGTTTTGCTAATAATACACCTTCACCACTAGACAATTCTTCAGTTCAAAGGAGTAATAGATATAAGGCTGGAACTATCCTGAGTATGCAAAGGAGTGTTTTCTGTGGATGTTGTAATTTGTCTTTCTTGTCTTACTGACATAAATACGTGGAGAAATAACTTAAATTTTAGTTTTCAGTTTTTTATTAGGCCAGTCACTTCCCATGTTCTTATCTTTGGGACTAAATCATATGCTACGTTCTATATAAAACTAGGCTTCGTGTTGTATGCCTGTAATCTCAGTACTCAGGAGGCTGAGGCAGATAAATCACAGCAAGTTTGAGGCCAACCCAGGCTACACAGGTGAGTTCAGTACATCCTGAATTACAAAGTAAGACCCTATCTCAATGCCAACCCCCACCACAAGTGTTATAAAATTAGCACACATTAACACATAGTCCAAATTAAAGTTTGAATCAAATTTACAAATGTATTTTGAATGTTAAAATCTGAAAGTTGTCCTTTTTTCTTTTTGGAAATACTGGGGATTGAATCCAGGACCTTGATTCTAAACTAATATCCTTGGCCCCTTTTAAATTTTTTATTTTAAAAGAGACAGAGTCTTGGTAAATTGCATAGGCAGGGCTTGAAGTTCTAATCCCCCGTCTTAGCTATCCAGGATGCTGGGATTATAGGCGAGTGCCATCATGCCCAGCAAACTGTCCTTCTATTATGTCATGACACCTACCTCAGGTGAACTTTGTCTAGTGCTCCCATCAGAAGGACTGGCTGGTTGATCTTGAATCTGGGGCATAGTAAAAGAAAGTTCCAGTGACTCTGCATTTGGTTCTAATTTTAATGCAACTTCTTGATTGAGTGCAGGGTCAGTACTACTCCGAAGTGGCTTTGGAGATTCAGAAGCAGGTAATGGAGACATTGCCAAATTTATATTCTGCAATTTTTCACTGGACGAGGGGAACATTACATCATTATACAATGGAACTTCCTCAAGTTGTTGGTCATCAGTTTCTGTGTCTACAGGAAAAAAGATTATAGTCAATCTAAAGAATGTAAGAATTTTAACATATACATAGATTTGTTCCTTATTAAAAAAGTTTTGCCTAATTCATTCAAGCACAAAGATGTTAACAACTCTTCCTTAATCATAAAGTTAATAGATATTATGGTATAATAATTCTGTTATTTTTTCAACCCATTACTTACCCATCCTGTTAATCTAAATGGCAGAAAAGGGGGCTGGGGATTTAGCTCAGCGGCACAGTGCTTGCCTGGCAAGCACAAGGCCATGAGTTCGATTCCCAGTACCGGAAGAAAAAAACAAAAACAAAAACAAAATAATAAACGGCAGAAAAGCTCTGTAATTTCAACCTATTTTTATACTTAAAAATCTAACCAAGTTTTAGTTTTCATTTTCAGTATCTATATTATAGTATGACTGCTTATTTATCCTCTAATGCAGTTACACTTATATCAACCTAATAAATTGTGTAGGATATAGAAATTGCACAGTAGCTGGGGAAAATTAACTTCAGGAAGAAGAAATACATTAAGGATCTTTGAAGAAAGATTCCTAACTATATAAAAAAAAAACAGGAATGCTAAGAAATTTCCTTTTTTTTTTTTTGGTACCGGGAATTGAATTCACGACCTTGCGCTTGCCAGGCAGGCGCTTGTGCCTGCGAGCTATATCCCCAGCCCTTGGAATGCTAAGAAATTATAGGGACAAAAAATGTTTAAGCAAATACTTCCAAACAAAAAAAGTCACAGTAAATTACAGCTGAATGTAGCAACAGGCACAGTTTAGAAGATTAATAAAACAGAAACCCACCATTGCTGCTAAAGTCTAAAGATATGATTGTGTCTCCAGCAGCTGGGGCCAGCAAAGTTAAAGCATCGGGTTCCTTCTTAAGCTTATCAAAGAGACTACTTGTATCTTCTGATTCAACTTTGGTGAACAGCTGAGTTATTTTCATATCTGAAGATTCAACTGGCTTGAGGACACATTCTGTTTGTTGAAGGGAGAAAATCAAGTCATGCTGAATAATACCACTGTCAAAAAAAAGAAAGATTAGTAATTCTTAATGGAGCTCTTTACACAGGGCGAAGAGTACTATAAAATGACCTTATCACAAATTCTGCTTTATGAAAAGAACATTTTAATATTCCTTCATATGCCATTATTTCTCACACAGTCACGCTTAGCATTTTCAAATAAAATAAAACGAACGGTAAAGACCTAATAAAATTCACAGCAATTGACTAATTCCAACTTAAAACTTCAAATACCATTTTGGAAAGAGCAGTGGTGACAAACAGTTTAGATAAAATGACCATACCTTTTCTAAAAGGGATGCCATTATTTCTTTCCTGTATGAAAATGATACAGTGATGCCACTTATAAGAGCACAAGAAAGATGAACAGCTCCAGCCTCATGCAAATTCAATGTAATTTTATTACTTTAGTTAACATTTGAAGTGTTCACTATGTGACGTGAACTGAGGATGCAAAGATTAAAGTACTCAGTCCCTCATCTTCAAGAAGCTTATAACCCACTGTGAAAACAGAAGGGCTAAGAAAATACACTGCAATCATTGCTAAAATGAAGAAGGCTTGCTACACAGAAAAGGCTTACAAGCAGAAACTTGGGCTCAGTAGCATTTGTTTGACAAGTACGATAAAGGAAGAAAAGAACTTTCTAAGGATGATGTCAGAAGTGGCAAGAATAAAAACAAGTGACCAAAGTCTTTCTAAGAGGGGTGACCACAGATTTTGAAGGGCGGAAGGTATGAAAGCAAGGGAGTATGATGACAAGAAATGACGCTCTCCAAGTAGGCAAAGGCACCTTTGAAAAAATTCTAAACAAAATGAAATGAGCTCTCCATACTAGAAAGCTCAGCCTGATGGATGAACTAGAGTGTTCTAGCATGTAGAAGCTATATTGAGTGGTAGTGGCACCTATGGAAATAGAGCAAATGAAAGATTAAGGTGCCTGTAATAGTCATGAACCAATGACTAAGAGAAGGTTCAAGACTATAACAAAAGCCTGTATCTCTCATTTACAAGTAATCTCAGATTTTTCATTTAATCATCATTATAATCTTTTGAGATTATAATGCCACCTACACAAATGAAATCAGGAGGAGACTTTTCCATAGTCATGGAGCTAAACAGTGACAGAATTATGACATGTAACTATTCCAAGGCTAGTATTTTCCCTACTGCCTCAAAACAATAAATACCTAGGGCTGTATTAGTAAAGCAAACTAATCTGTAGAGCAGGTATTTTTTCAAGGTCTTTAAAAATAACAGTGAAACTGTATAGATGGACAACTACTAATCCTTTTTTAAAGGAATTACTGTGGAATAGCTGACTTGGAAACCTAAGCTATGGTGTTGAAAAAATCGTAATTCTGTAGGAAAAAGAAATTTAGTTAATGTCTATAATCTCTCTTCCTACAAGAGTACCCCAAAAGAGTTACTACTGTACTTGCTCCTCGAAATGTTTATTTCCCCAGCTTACCTCACAACGTAATTTACACACACAATGCATTGTGGTTGAGAGTTCTTGGTGTTGTATATGACAGTTGCTTGAGTTTCAACCCAGACATATCCACCTCTTTTGGCAAGCATCCTGTACTGTCCTGTGGTGACCTGTCCTTTAGTAAACACTAGAAATTAAAATGAAAAAGAATCAGAGAAAATAACTGATTTTTTAATCAAATGAACAGATTAAATGTGGATCACTGTTTAAGTGGAGAAATATTTAATAGACTCAGTTGTAATTATTCAACTTAAGAAAGCCAAAAATAAACCTCATAAATCTTTTTCTCCCAATCCTCACTTCAAATAAAAGGAATGAGAGACAGCAGTAACTGAAATTCCTTTACTGACTTATAGGAAAATGTCACACTAGAGAATGATTAATGCTTAATGTCAGGGACATTCAAGAAAATAGTACTACCATTTATTAAATTCCTGCTGTAATTTCCAGAGAACCAAAGAACACCTAAAAAGTTGTTAACTGCTATAAACTGATGCCATATTGCAGTCTTTCAGCAATCTGGGCAACCTAAATTAATTACTGATTTAGGAGAAAGTACTAAATAAATCAAAATTATGCTGTGATTATTAGTATTAAGGCTGGGACTACAGACTCAAGCTAACTCTGCAAATAAAGGCTAATTATATTAATCCAATGACATTCAGGTATCCCCAATCACATCTAGAAGTCATATTTTGGTACAGATTAGACAGGCAAATGAGGAATTCCAAAATTTAATTTACCCTGAGATCTCAATACTCATTTGAATAAACTTCAGAATCGTATCATATGCCAAGGGTATTATACGTAGATGATGTTGATCACCTTCACATTCACTGATTCCCTGAACAAATTATTTTCTGATGCCTTCTATGTACCACACACCAATCTGAATACTTAGGTATGGATTCTGAAAATGATGCTATTAAATACTGTATAATATTTGATTTTGAAGTCACTGAACTTAAAATTCCTCCTATAGGGAAGTTTTATATATTATTAAGTGATTCTGCTTATATTGATATTTGTTTTAACAAGTACAAAACAAAGATGGAATGATTAAAATCCCTTATGAAGAAGGCTATTGACATATTTAGTCTAGAAAGACTCATCAACTTTAGCCAGAAGTTAAATGTACAAATAGTAGATTGTAAGACTTAAACAACTAAAATATCTATGATTTCGTCCTATACTTACTGTCATGGTGAGTTTTGGTCAGATGATCAGAATCCAAAGCATGGTAATATTCATAAATGGACCGGCCCAGAAGCTCTTCTGGCTCATACCCCATCAATTCAGTAATTCTGTTTAACAGCAACAATACATATATATTTAAAAAAAGAGTAACAGATAAACAAGGAAGAGTATTTATAAATATGTATGAAGTACTGCAAAATTAAATGACAGAAATTGTAAAGGGACGATCAAGTCCTTACCATTATTTCCTATACAACCAAATTCTTTATAGGACAATTTTAGGCCCTCACTTCAGAGAACCAGCATCTATTTACATTTCAGTGTCATCAACCAAACAGTATCTACACTAAAAAGAAAGTAAAGGAATAGCTCTCCTAATGGCTTTAGAAGATGTACTTTTCCTGAAGTTTTTGAACTTTGTTATATGAAATTATGGACATTTTAGGTGAAACAATGATACAAAACTGAAAGTGGGCTGAAAACTAATTCACTTATCCCACCTGGTTTCCTGGCAGTTCCTTACTCTTTGTATCCAGTCAGGAACATTTCATGGGAAAGACAACCCATGTCATGAGGAAAAGGAAGGTGTCTTTTTAGTGCCATGCTAAATAGAAATATTCTGTTTAAATATTCTGTTCTAGAGCCTTGCCAGTAACACAATATGAGTTAAGTTTTTACATTTCTCAGCCATTAGATTTCAAAGGACTTTCTTACTGAGGTGTAAGTAGAGGTTACATATTGTGCTGTGTCTAACAAACAAAATACTTAATTACTGAAAGGATAGAAGCAGGATATCCTTGCTATTAATAAAAGCATAAAAGTAACATTGCTTGTGTTGATACACTTTAAGGCCAAATATGCTTCAGTAGTTTAAAAAAGGGATATCCCAAAACACAGCAACACTAGGTGGCAGCATTACAAAGAAAAACATTCTTTTTAAATAATTCTGCATGTGTTCCTGCATGTGTATGTGCTGCCGAAGCGAGCACGTGTTCCTGCATGTGAACGGTTTCTGGACATCAAATCTAAAACCTTATACATGCCAGGCATATGCTCTACCACTGAGTTACATCCTCAGCCTTAAAAATATTTTTAATTGTTCTACTCCTATCCATGAAAAAGATTGGTAGGGTGAGGGACATGTTATAGGAGATACAAGTTTAATATAAAAGAGAGCTAAAGAGAAGGCAAAACCACTTCAGGAAAATGTTATATTATAAACAAAGATAAGACAAATTGCTTACTATGGTGTAGACAATAAAGAGTGACATTAGTGGGGGCAAGAAGAGAGAGATGATACTGGAAAAGTAGGCAGGAAGATCAGATTAATGAGGGTTATATACATTGTCCTAGAAGATTTAATCAGATCTTGATTGGTGCTTCTCAATTTGAGGTATTTCAAGATACTCCAAGAAGTCAAAATGTAACAGTAGACAGCTTTCTTAGAAGGTCAGTTTTATTTATACTAGAAGAAGCAAGGAAAAGCCAATTTAACTTTGGAGAATTGCCTAATTTATTAATTTGTACCAAATGGGAAGCAGGACCCAGAAAATTTAATAAAAAATACTTGTAATGGACTAAAAAAACCTAAAGCAACCATGCGGCTTATCATTCATTCCCTGTATACATCAAGAAGTGGAACTGTTGATCTTCATTTCTATTTTATTGCCCTGACTGCTCAGATAAATGTGAATGATAAGTGGACATAACTCAGTAAAATATGTATCTCTGGGGTATTTTGTATGTTAGCAATTTTGTATGTTAGATTTTTCTTAAAACCGAACAAACTATTTCCCATGTCTTGGCTCCCAGGGGTAAAAGATGTGGAAAGTTCTTAAAAGAGCTCCAGTCATGATCACTGCGCTGTGTCTGACGGAACCAGAGGAGGATGCCATTATCTTTCTCATCTTTGCTCTATCACTTTCCTTCTTCCCCAGCTTACTCCTATGCTTTATTTTCAAAACAAAAGCTCAAATTTTTATAAAATAATTCCTTAAAATATGACGGGTATCTCTGTTCCATCATATATTCACATGAAAACTGGTAATATTACAATACTATAAAATAGTTCTTTTTTTCTCTCTTCATTTTCTTAAGTTGACACCAGTGGTGAGGTTAGTATCTGTGAATTCCTCACCACAATTCACCACAGGTACTAAGTATTCAACAAACTCCTTCAGTTCTCACAACAGCTTTTGAAGTACCACTCTTATTTTATAAATAAGAAATGTGAGTTTTACAACAGTTAGGTACCAGAGCTGCAAGCTAAGACTGGAAAATAAGATTATGTGATTCCAAAGCCAGTGCTCTGTCAACATTTCTTTGTCCAAAGGGTGAGGAATTATAGCTAAGTGCTTACAATAATTGGTCTTCCCATAGTCTTCAGTCAAACCCATAGGTAGGTATTTTTAAAGATGAAGAAACTGATGATCAAAGCTAAGAATTCATGTGTTGAAGATCATTTGGATATAGGTCGCACAGACAGAATTTAGTAGTCTGGAGAATCTATACCTTTAACCACTATTCATACAGCCTTCCAATAAATAAAAAAGGAACAAGCAATATAACAGTAGAATAAATACTATGACAGAGTATTTACAAGGAACAGTACAGTTTCTTCATGAGGGAATAAGGAAAGCTACAGAAAGGTATGTTAGATGTGGAAAAAAATAAAAACATCAGTGCAGATTGGTTAAGTATGTGCAAATGAACTGGACATTAAAACACCAAACATATGGAGCTGTCTGGCTGTAGGATGTTGGGTGCCACATTAGAATGGATGGCCTCTCCTCTTGATTAACTTGGTGAACTGGGCAGGGCCAAATGGTAAACATCCATATTGATAACAGGAAGTTCAGTATTTATTGTGTAGGTCTGTTTTTCTTTCAGCCCTTTAAAATATACATTCTTAATTATGATGTACCAAAATATACACTAATGAAAAACCACTTTGTCCTACCTCTATTATTTTTATAATCAAAGGTTTTTTCTATGTGATGATAAAGGGAAGCAACTGAGCCATTTTCAACATACTCTGATCTGAACATAAGAAAGTCTACTTTTGGGCACTCTGAATGAAACAGTAGAAGGGTTCACATCTACAGAGAGAAATGTGGCTGACCTATGGCAACAGTCCAGGCCAAAGTAACAGTGGCAGGAGTACAAGGGTAGAAAAGAGGAAATGGGCCAAGAGATAAATGCAACCAGTGAATCTGTAAGATTTCTGAGACCAACTGAATATAGATGAAGGTGTCAACAGAGGCATATTAACAGTGATAGACATTACAGAAAGAAAAGAACAGTGATGTAATTCAGTAAAGAAATATTTGGTGTATGATACAGAAGCATTAACTATCCAGACAAAAGTATCTGGTCAGCAATTACAGAGAAGGTGCTACAAAAATAAATTTGGGAAATGCAGTAGAAATTATGGGTACAGTTGAAGGTGCTCCATGAAAAAATGTAACATGAAGATAAAAGAAGCAAATGTGATATCTGGTGTATAAACAGAACTGTTTCTTTCCCCTTCACTTTACATAAGTAAAAGTCTAAAGAAAAACCTCATCTTTTTGTATAGCACCCTGTGAAGTGTTCATAGTATATAGTAAGTGTTCAATAAATATGCCTAAATTTAAAGTTAATTTAACGTTTTTTTTGGCTTCAGAATATATCATTCTATTTGCTTAGTAAAAACATACAATTTACCATTGAGTCTTTACTACAGTTAGAATAATTAAGAATTCCAATTATATTTTATAACTCATTTACCTTTCATCACAATAAGAAAATTTCATATCCAGGCTGTGTCTACTGAGAAAAGTCTTGCTATCTAGAGGAATCTCAATATTGGATGGATGAGGAATAGGTTCACAAATCAGCACCAAGCAGGTCATCGGTGGTTTCTTATATCCACACTGAGGTTGATTACTGTTGGTATCATATACATGAATATGGCCTGTGCAGTGAAGTACCTGTGTATGAGTAACAAAACAGCAATTATTTCTTAAAGTTATACTACAAAAAATGAAAATGCAGAGCTAAGGAGTTGAGCCCGACATGGCAAGTAAGCTTTGACAAATTTACTGTCATTAGTGAATTAAAAACATTTATGAAAATCAACAATTTTTTCTCATGAGACTACCCTTAGATTACCCTTTAAAAAACTTTTTCCCCTTGAATAGGTCTGGGCTGCTTTTCATATGGTGATTGCAGCTAGATGGTTATATCTTGCTCTGATGACTACACTGAGCAAAGAAAGGACAGTGATAAATAAAAAGTTAAACTATAAGGACCCAAACTGTGGAAGGCAGCAAGCCCACTGATTAAGTTAACCTGGTACAATAATCTTACCACTCACATAGATGTAAGTTTGTGCTTCAAAATGGCAAACTACTATGGATTTGCAAGAGTACACACAAATCAGCTACATATGCAAACATTACATCTTGCAAACAAGTGCTGGGATTATAGCTCAATGGCACAGTGCCTGCCTCGCAAGTGCAAGGTCCTGAGTTTGATTCCTGGTACCCAAAAACTAAATAAAATTTAAAAAACAAAAAATCTGCAAACAAGAGAGGAATTGCACACATATTTTCTGCTCATAATTCTAAAGCTCTTTTAATATTACCAATGTCTACAGCAGTGATGACAAATCAATGATACAAACAGTGCACTGTATGTATGCCATGTAGATGTATAAATTTATCTGTAAATTAAGTAAGTGCATCATCATAAATCATTATTACCTTCCATGTTGCAGACTTTATGTTCATCGTTCGCCCCCGGCTGGTTAGGGTACACTTCATTCTGAGAAAAAAGCTTCGTTGTGTGTTTTGTTCTTTACCCTTTTTCACAGGCCCTAATGAAAGCAGGAAATATAGTTTAAAAACATAACTAAATATACAACTTTGTTATAATGAGGGTAGCAAAGTACCCAGCACCATACACTGTTAAATTTAAAGTCTTAGCAGGAACACAGCAATTCAGATTCCTTTCACCTACTGCAACACATCCATTCAAGAGGTCTGATACACTCCACTAACAGTGTTTCTAAGAATGCAGCGATTCCCTGAGTTGGCCGAGGAAAATCCATATTTAGGATAATAATTAATGATTTAAAAATAGTAAGCTTGGTCAAACTATAAGGAAATGTGAAGAAGGTGTAAGCTTGACCTACGTCCATCAGTGTACAAGGATACCCCTAAAAATAACTTTGGTAAATTTTTTCTGTCCTTTACCTGACGTGATTAGCTTAAGCAACAATGTGTGTATAGAGAGATTAAAATACCAACATTATTTTAATGGCAACCAGCATTTTTATATACCTGATTTTTCTTGAAATCATGAAGCAGGCTGTTTTGCTACTATGAAAAAAATAAAGCAGAAAGGATGACACATCAAAGTTACAGAAAAAGGGGCTGGGAATGTAGCAGACTGTATAGGTGCTGGGTAGTGCACTTGCCTAACATGCCTTAAGGCCCTGGGTTCAACCCCTAGTGTTGGGGGGAAAAAGTGTTACAAAAATAAAGTCAAGTCTAGTCATTCCCGTTCTAAATCTCTTAACTAAAAAATGAGACTACACTCAGGTGACTTTATCTAGCATATGGTATCTTGATTTATCTTCATTGGTCAATCTGATTCACATATAAAACAAATATAAAAATATTCAGTACTCAGGACCTGGATAGAAAGAGGAGTAGAAAGAGGAATAATTAGATATACTGCTTTCTTAAAGAAGTTAGACATGTAGTAGACGCAGTATAACTCAGAACAAGTACTCAAGACCAATAAAAATACTTTAAAGAAAGACTAGTGGATAATGTCTATTCAAGGAGAATCAACAAGGCCTTCTCAGAAAAACATTAGAATTTCAGTAAGTAGAGATGGATTACAAGGGTATTCCAGCAGAAGGAAGAGAATGAAAAACACAGAGGGAGAAAAAAAGTAGGAGGTGTATGGGAAAAAACAGATAGTACAGCTTACCAGCAATATAAAGTACATGCAGAAGACTGATAAGACAAATTTAGAAACAAAGGCTAGGCTAGGGTTACTACTATGGAGGGCACTGGATGCCCAAGTGAGGAGTTCAGCCTAAATATATAACATGACACTTGTTAAAATAGTTTGAATTAGGAAGCACAACTGGGAATTTAAACATTAACTTGGCAGCAATATATATTACATATAATGTTAGAATGTGAACACAAGATACTAACTGAGGGACTGAGGCAGTGTTAAGTGGTAGAAGTGGAAAGAAAGATGGCCCAACAAATGGTAGAATCTATAAAACTTATAAAGTGATAGAAACAAAGGGCAAGAGAAATCAAAACAAGATCTGGAAAATTTAAGGCTGATATACTGAAAAAACTGTCAAGTGGAAAAGAGGCAAGAGAATAAGCTGAACGCCAGGCATGGTTAGCTAAAAATGCTAGAATCTTGAGAAAGATGAGTTCTAGCTCATACTCACTCACTATAGAACTGGGAAAGTTGTGGCAGTCGTGGTGCTCATGCAAGTTATTTGGCTTTCATTAAATAAGGACGGAATCTGCCTTCCTAGAAGCATCAAGAATGGATTTTAAAAAGATGCCATAGAAACTATGCTGGTCTTGACCACATAGGTGTGTGGGGTGGGTGTGGTGACTTTGGTGGTGGCACTGGAGATGTACATGCAAACTGCCGGAGGTGTTTTCAGACCTTCAAAATCTAAGCTTGAATTAAATCATCTTTGGAAATCCAGGGCCTTTGACTAGGTGCAGGCAAATAAATTTAAAAACCAAGAACACTGAAAAATACTACCATTTTTTGATAGAAAAATATTTTAAAAGAACTACATTTTGAGTGCTCCAAAATAGGTCATATTTTATGATTTTTGAAATCTAAAGCATCTTTTTAGACATTAAATAAAAGAACAGGGTTATTTGTAATATAAATACACCACTGGCTCTTAGTGTATCATTAAAATGTGATGCTTTGCAACACTCTCTTGTTTCTAAAAGTGAAAAATCTACGTTTTTTAAATTTCCCAACAAAACATCAAAAATTAACTACATTAGGAATGACTTCAAAAATATTTCTGTGCTTTATGAAAGTACATTCGGTTCAAAACATACATTTAAATATTAAATAGGCTATATGTGATTTAGAAAAACACATTAACCTCATTACCAAATCAAAACAAGATGTTCTGATATTTATCCATTTATAATCTTGCCTCAGGGAAGCTCTTAGCAGTCAATACAAACTTCAGGTCTGAAGGCCAGACACCATACACTGTATTCAGCAACATGTATTAACAACCTACTCAGGTCATTGCTCAGAGCACATTTACCTATTTTTTATATAGAATTCTAAAAAGTATGCATTTTTTTCCAATTTCACAGTGAGAACAATACATAAAATTAAAAAGCAAGAGTACGATCTTACTAATGGTTTTTAAAATGCAGTAGAATGCAGTGAGAGTTTAAGAACACAAGAAGAGATATGAAATACCAAGTGTGGATGCTGAAGCCAGTCTATGTGAGTTCGGATCAAGCTCTGCCATTTGCTAACCAAGTAATACAGGACAGGTTACTCAGTGACTCAGTAAAATAGGAATTGGAACAGTAACTTCACAGGGTTTTGTGAACAATACAGAACTTAAAGATACAACAGGAAGAAAGTGGTGTCCTAACACCCAATATTCTCTCAATAGAGGTTAACTGTTATTACAAGTGAGATAAAAAGGGAAACTTTAAAAAACATTTCTGAAACAAATGTATATACTTAAACTGGAGGGTGGCAAAGATACTGCAAAGTATAGGAAATTTTCATTTGATAACTTTTAGGATTACGATCAGTATATTCAATGTTAGAAGGTACAACTATGAAAAAGCTTTAATTGTTTAGTTTTTTTGTTTTTTGTTTGTGTCTTTTTGAGAGAGGGTCTTGCTATGTAGTTCAGGCTGACCTTGAACTCACTTTGTAGCCGAGGCTGGTCTTGAACTTGCAACTATCCTTCTACCTCAACCTCCCAAAGTGGTGGGACTACAGGCATGCACCACCACGCCCGGCTCTAATTGTTTAGTTTTTATAAGTAAGAGGTACTTTTAAAAAATCTTGGAATATTTTATCATTTGTAATGAATTATTTCTCAGAATTACAATTTTTACTGTCTTTGTTAATGTGTGAGCATTCATAATGCTGTTATAGTCTGTAATCTAATTACAGTTTCAAATTATTGAAAACATACTGCAAAGTCAAAGCAATTATTCTGCTCTTGAAATTTTGGTTCTCTTTTTTTTTTTCTTGAGAGAAAAAAGGCCTTGAAAAAGCCTGGACCCAAACTACCACCTCAGCTTCACAAACTATCTAAAATTCTATTATCTGCTATTTATGTTATGACTTCTGCTTTCTTGATGTATTTTAATTTAGAACTCTCTTGGCCTTGATTTTTATTTATTTTGCCATTCATTTTATCTATGTGAGTGTCTATGATTATTTAGGTAGATGCTAGACATTTTTGGGTGTTTTTATGAAATTTCTGAAAAGTAGAATAGTCTTAAAATTAACTGTAAAATGACATTTTGCCTTACATTAGTACAGTAACAAAATTTTACAAATTATTAGTAGTATCTGATTAAGTAAAACCCCATCACATTAAATCAAATAGACTTCTCACCATTTCTGTGTGTAAGCATTTCTTTCATTTCCTCATGGTCACATGGATGAGTAAAATCAAACACACTGTGTCCAGTTAGTTCAAACTGTAAATATATTTTAAAAAATTAGATCTATATCATAAAATCATCAAATCATCAAGAAGGGCTTTTAATATGTGGACATGTTACCTGAGTTAACCCCATGTACTTGTTCACATTATCAGAAATGTAAATCATGTCACCGTCATCGGTAAGCACCATAACAAAGCCATCCAGGGCCTTCAAATAAAAGCAGTTCATCTGTGCCTTCATTTCATCTTCAATATCTAGATCACCTAAAAAGGCACAAGAGGTAGAAAGTAATTAAGATGTTATGCTGAAGTGATGTAATGTTTAGATGTTTGTATAAAGTTTTCCCTGATATCCTTTAATCTACAGCATCTACTTTTCTGTGTATTTTATTATTTTGTTTTGTTTTTTCGTCTTTTTGAAACAGAGTCTCACCATGCAGTTCAGGCTGGTCTGAACTCACTTTCTGTATCCCAGGTTGGTCTTGAACTTGCAATGATCCTCCTGCCTCAGCCTCCCAGGTGCTGGGATTACCGGCACGCGCCACCACGCCCGGCTCTTCTGTATATTTTAATTTCTCCCCGTCACTCATGTTAACACAGAATAGTCAAAACCAGTGTTGGGAAGACTAAAATTAGATTTTACCAGCTAGCTGCTTTTCATAATTATTAAAACAATGCAACCAGGCAAATTATTGAAAAACAAAAGGATTGAGTTTTGATTGAAAGGTACGTGGAGGAGGAAAAGGGGTCCGGGAATTTCTGAATGAAACTTTCAAAAAAGGATAATAAAAAGGATGTCATATTAAAAAAAAAAAAAACAAAACCCAAAGTATGGTGACCACCAGCTAAAAATAATTTTTAATCATTTTCAATTTCTAATTTTCAGGCCTATTATGCTCATATAAAACAACTTACCAGCATCCAGAAGTTTTCTCACACGCAGATAACTGATGGTGAGCCTCATAACGGAAGCCTTATCAAGATGTGAGCTCACGTTATGGGGAAGTGGCAACTGATGAGCAAGCTCGTAAAAAACTTCAGACTCTTTGCTTCGCCGAGATCTGGCAGCATCTCTAGACTTTTCTTTTCGACGCTCAGAACTTATCCTACTTAACAGAAAAAAAAAGAAAAAGGGACCAAAAAATGTATATGTTAGTTTGTTGAATAAAATTAATTTTACATTTTTTTGCTTACCACACAATTATAAGTCATGTAATTAATTATGAGACTTGTCAATAAACATTTTTATACAGATGGCTATACGAATTTTGAATTACTGCAAAACTAATCTAAGATCAAGTTTTAAACCTGTCCAGCCAGGAGCAGTAGCACAACACTTACAATCCCAGCTATAGTAAGGCCCTGATTTATGAATAATCAAGTTGCAAACTTCCACAGACACAAATGGACCTCCTGTTATGAACATTCATAGAGGCAAACAAGTCATGTAAGTAGCTCATGTGTCTGCCGGACACTGTCACAGTTGCGCTACTGTGTGCTTAGTGTACATTACAATAGTGTACAGTAGTACAGTCCTCACTCAGAGCCCAGATGTCCAGAAGCAAGAGAAAAAGTGGTGATATAGAGGGGACTGCTAGGAAGTGCAATGCAGTCTGTGTCAAACCGTTTTAAGACTCACTTTTGGAATGGAACTCATTCATAAGTCAGGGACTTACTGTACTTGGAAAGCTGAAGCAGGATCCCAGGTATGAAGCCATCTGGGCAAGTTGGTGAAACCCTGCCTCAAAGTAAAACTGAAAAGGGGGCAAGGACATAGCTCAGTGGTAAAGCACTTGCCCAGCATATCCAATGCACTGGCCCAGCATCACAAACACAAAAACCTGCCCAAAGCAGATGTTTCTTATTCCCTGGTATGTCAAATTGGATTTTTCTAAAAAACAAACAAAACCAACAAAAAAACAGAAAAACACATTAAATAACCTACATACCAAGGGTGTCATTCAAAAGTAGCTTCAACATAGAAAAGCCATGATTAGAGATACGACCTAAAGTGGTAAATATAGTCACTTGAAAATAGGAGCACACAGAACAGTAACTGTTGAATAGTAACAGCTATACACTGATTTGTGATACAGGTTTGTTTGAGCCTATTATTTTTCTACCTTCTACCCTGCCAAGTGAACAATACTGACCATAAGCTATTTACATTAGCTGTAATAAACTACTGTTTTGAGGCTGCCCGCTTCCTTAGCAGCCCCTTATCTAATACTGGCATAATATGGTACCAAATAAATGCAGGAGTAATGGAAGGCAAGAAGATGTGGGACAATATCAACAATTTCAAGGAATAGGTTAGCAAACATAATAAAGGTGACAATACAATGATACATCTTTAAGGAACTCTTTCAACAGTGAAGTCAGTCAGATTTGCATCATGCCTGACTACTCAGTAACATCTGGTCCTTTGACCCAGTTGAAGGCAAAGCTAAATCTGGCTGTCCTTAGCTGCCTCCTAAGTAATTATTGTTTATTAAAGCCTCCAGTGAACCAAATACTACCCTGTATTAGGTGTCTAGTTCTCTCATAACGACCCGTAAGTAGGCTAAATAGTACCACTGTTTTAAGAATGTGGATCCTAGGACTCTGCAGCTTAAAAACAGCAATTTCACATCAAACAGGATTTGCATACAGGTATTTTAGGTTTTTGCTTTTTCACAGTTCTATCTCTTAATAGAGACTGCTACCTCTACTCAGCTGACCTTGGTGTCTCAACTCAAGCCTGTTAATCAGTTTTTTACTGAATAGTGAAAATAGTTCTTACAATTCATTGAGCATTTAGCAGTATAACAGAGTTATTTCACTTAATCCTCAATATATTCTACATCTCTGCCTCAACCCTTTTAAGTGATCTGTAAAGCTGAAAAGTATAATCACAAAAGCAATCTTCTTCAGTAATGGTTTTCTGAATACATGGTTTTGCTATGTTGTATAAAAACATGAAAATACCGAACAACTGCATTTTGACAAGTGATACTATGATTTCAGCACTTATTAATAACATAAATGTTTATTATAGTAACAAATTTCATTTCAAGCACCTATAGCAACTTAACTTGAGAACATTAAGATTTAAGGTGGGCTATGAAAAAAATCACTTGTAAGTATTTTTTTTTTTTTTTTTTTTTTGAAAGACAGGGCCTCCTATGTAGTTCAGGCTGGCTGAAACTCCTGCTGATCCTCCTACCTCAGACTCCCAAGTGCTGGGAGTACAGGTATGCACCACCATGCCTGGCTCAGTACTTATCTATAAAACTCAGGATTTTCATGATAAAACCAATTGGACACTTGAGGGTACACAAAAATGAAACAATGTCAACAGTCTGCATTTTGCATTTGTATTTTTTAGGTCCCTTAGAACTGCCTCATTGTTCCCACTGATAACGTTTTCAATTTGAATTTAAAACTAAACATAATAAAGCTTTTCTTTAACTTCCTAAGTACTTTTGTTGTTGTTGTTTGTTTTTAGAGACAGGGTATCACTATGTAATTCAGGCTGGCCTCGAACTTGTAGTGATCCTCCTGCCTCAGCCTCCCAAGTGCTGTGATTACAGGCATGTGCCAATATGCCTGGCTAATAAAAGTTTTTAAAAACTATTTTAACATACTAGAGTTTGAGATAACATCCCTGGGGCTCACAGCAAGTGGAAATGCAGTGGGTCCCTATGGGCCCTACTATGTGCTGTTTCCTTCACATTCTCTCCTCTTAAACTGGTGGGTAAGAGACAATGCACTGGGAAACACTGCTATCTAGTTCAAGTAAGGCCATAAAAAGAAAGTGATGACCAATGATCTTTTGATAAATCTAGGTATTAGTCAAATGCTCCAGTTAGTACAGGCATTTAGAATTTTATATGCAACTTGAATCAGACTGTCCTCTTTTGTCTGAACTACTCAACCAATCTAGGCTACTGACAAAGACTAACCACATGAAATACTTGATTAAAAAAAAGGTATGCTTTCACCACCCTCCACATACATGGAGCTTTATATAAAGAAAAGGGTCTAATAAATTCAGGAGAAAAAGACATAAAATACGGCAGAGAAATCCTTAAATTTCTAGATGCTGTATGGGCCTCTAAGAGGATGGCAGTCACACACTGTTGGGGGTACCAGAAGCAAGACAGTGCAGCCACTCTGGGGCACTAGAAAGCAGACAGGAAAGCAAAGTGCACAGCCTCCAGGGGAATGTAGAACCAACAGCTGTGGCTGCCACAATGCTCCTCAGTCCATTGGCAGAATGGGATCCTAATTACCCACAACGTGAGAGTACTTGTTTTAAGAATGGAAGGCTACCTCCCAGGTGGATGGAGAAATTTGAAGACGATAGGACTGCAATCCCCAAGATAGTAGTAGCTCCAGCATTTGTCAGAAAATTTCATCAGTACATCTGTAATCCCAGCACTAAGGAGGCTGAGGCAAGAGGATCCTTGCGAGTATGAGACCAGCTTGGGCCAGAAAGTGAGCTCAAGGCCAGCCTGAACTGCATAGCGAGACCCTGTCTCAAAAAGACCAAAAAAAAAAAAAAAAAGTTTCATCAGGACACCCATATGGGCCAGAGGACAGCTTTTGAGACCACCATGGGTCAACATTTCTATGTCCCACGGTTCTCCAGCATAGCTCAAGTAGTGTGTGAACAATGTGAAATATGAGCCCATAGTAACCCAAGTCAAAGACCCAAGACAGTGCCTGGGGTGCAGAGTGTTGGGGGAAGCCACATTTGAAAATGCTGTGGACTTCACTGAACTTCCCCGAGTCAATGGCTACAAGTATTTGTTAGTCTTTGTGTGCACCTTCTCAGGCTGGGTAAAGCCCTTCCCCATCCATATGGAAAAGGCATCCGAGGTGGCCCAAGTCCTTTTGGGAGAGATCGTTCCCATTTTGGAATTCCTGTTACTACAGGATCAGATAATGGGCTGGCATTCATCACAGAGGTAGTGCAGCTGGTGGCCAAAGGAGTAAAGATTACTTGGAGACTGCATAAAATACACCATTCCCAGAGCTCAGGGAAAGTGGAACGAATGAACTGGACTCTAAAGCTACAGCTGAGCAAACTGTGTCAGGAAACACCTGCACTGCGACCAGCTCTTGCCAATAGCCCTGCAGAGGATTAGGTCTAGTCCCACTAAACAGATTTTCCCCTTTTAAAGCTCTTACCTTCCTCTTAGGGGTTTTGCCAGTACTGGCTGTTTTTACTGAAGGCCCCATTGGTAGACCTGATCTTCCCATCATGTGACACATGTATTCGCATAACCAGGTCTGGCCAGGGAGTTACCTAGACTATACCATATTCACTTCTCACGCCAGGGAAGGGTCCACAGAACCTGCACACATAACAGGACAACCTATTCTGCCAACAAGAAAATCAATATACTTATTTTGACCTAAAATACTCCCCCAATGAAGATAAGTCAGAAGTCTGATCCTACCAGGAGGAGGGACCTTGGTCAGCTAGATATCAATTACTAACTAACCCAAAACAACCACTGTAAGTAAAATTTGATGTGTGTGTGGTTATAGGTACTGGTCCTTAGGCATCTGTCATACAAAAGAAACAGGAACTTGCCAAAGACGGCCCAAGGACTCTTGATATATCATGTGGAAGCCCAAACTGGGAGCAAAAATGCTGATTCAATGACAAATATATGTGTGAGGAAAAGCAGTTTATATGCCTATACTCCTGAGTTTTTATGGAGCTGTGTTTCAGCTGGGACATCTGGGAAAAAGAAGGCACAACAGTGCTCCTTCAGAAGGAAGCTGCTACATCAGGTTGTCGGTCAAAGGCCTATAACCCTGTAAGTTTGCTTTACCATCATGCTCCATGGGGCATCCAAGTTGACATCTGGACCCATGGGCAAAGAAATGACCCAGGAACTGTGCTGTATTTCAAAGGAGTCACACTACCACCCTTTCAACCATGTCCCACCATTCCTTTTACAAGGAAATAAAAAGCATCCCCCCTCCCATTTCAGTCACAATCAGAAACTTGTTCCTAGCCTTAGTAGAGCCTGTTGCCCAGACTCTAAAGATGTCCTCTTGTTATATATGTGCGGGAATCAACATGGGGGAATCAATGGCCATGAGAGGCTAGAGAATTAGATTCCTGCAAATCTTGTAGAGGAACACGGTACTCCAACCCTGCCTCTGGGATTTAACTTCTCAAGACCTCAATCACTGGAAAGA